CCCTATAACTATTACAAAAACACAAAATAACTATAATTAAGTATTTATATGTGTGTACAAACTGTTTATACTATCAAAAAGCCTGTGTTTTTTGGGTTATTAACAAAGTTCATGTACTCAGACCAGTAATATTCGGGGTCACAAGTTTTTGCCATGAATATTTTGTGGGTCAGAAGATAAAAAGTTTGGGAACCACTGTTCTAGATCATAATTCCAAATTTGAGAGCTTTCAAATATTATTTCCCAGATTGGAACTCAAAAACTAAAACTTCTGAGTACAAATGAAATAAGACATGATACCTTCTGAAGTCAAACTTTTGGTTTTTGAGATGTTCCAGTTTTCTGATGTGGAACTTGGAAAATCTGGAGTAAAAATGGAACAAATCACAACAACAAAAGAAACAAAAGCAATACAGCTGAATTTAATAGAATACAATACAATAAAGAGACAGTTTAGACTGTATGATTTAAATTCAGAAATACAATGTAATACTATATATTACATTTCCTGTTTGAGTATATTCAAATCCAAATTGTTTAGGCTCAAGCTTTTAACTTAAGTTTTGCTTTGTGTGTGTGTGTGTGAATGTGTCTTTGTGTGAGTGTGTATGCTTAACCCCCAGTGTCTGTTGTTTGTATATTGACTTTGCAGTATTGATCACAGAAAATAGCAGGGTGGTCCAAATCATTGCATCCTGAAACCGAAGAACAGCCCTGTGCTTCTCAAAGTCTGGCAAACAAATAGCGGTGAGAGTTGAACTGACCTTAATCAACTGCTCCTTTTAGTCTGCCAAACCTGAGCCTGCAGGCCTGACTGTTGGTCTGCAGGGCCAATTTATGAGTAACACGTCTCCCATCCGTGTAATTCACAATCTGACCTCGGCTGTTTGACCTATTGATTTTTTTTTTTTTTACTAGAGCGGGGCTCCTAAAGCATTGCCAGTTGGTGGGACTCCATGAAGAATATACATGTGTTCCAGCACCGTGGCTCCAGCAGACCCAGTGATTATCCAGGGGGGCTTACTGCAGGGAAGGTGAGGATGGTTCTGGTCTGCTTGGCTGGTCGGTGCGGTGCCCCCTCGGGTGTCTAAATGGGATGGCTCCCACAGGATCCACTCCTAATATTATTTTCTATGAATAGCTGCTGCATTGCGGATGAAGAGAAGATACTGAAAGGAAGGAAATGTGGAAGAAGACTAGTAATGGATGGTAAAAGGGTAATGTTTTGTGGAGAGATGGGGGTAAAAAGCTGTATGGATTACTTTCATACCTCAGCAAAATAAAATGCTATTGTTTTCATGCACAAACAAACAGATAAACTGAAACTAAAGGCACAGTTGCATTAAGATGACGAGGGTAGAAGTTACAGAGACAATTTACTAATTTTCTTTCAAATAAAATGTGTAAATTGCTTAACTCAACTGGGTTTAGTGGAACCAGTTGACATAACTTGATTAAGTCCAACACTTAACATAGGAATCCCCACATTTGACCAGGAAATCAAAAGTTTCTGCAGGTGAATATGTTAAACCTGACAATATACAAATTAAATACTGCCCACATACTGCACTAATGCTCTTTTGTTGTCCATTTACTGTTTTTTTTTTTTTTGTTCTATGACGCAATTTTCTTAAGTTCACCAGTCTAAAGCAGTCAGCTGTAAGATCATCACACTGGAGAAGCTATTTGATCAAACCTGCAGGCAAACTAAAATAATCCAATAATATAACAATAAAAAATGAAAAGGCAACTATAATATGAAAACTTTCCCAGATCAACATTAGAGTAGCCTTCTATTGGGTTTTATTATATTATCCATCCATCCATCCATTTTCTTCCGCCTATCCGGGGTCGGGTCGCGGGGGCAGCAGCTTCAGAAGGGAGGCCCAGACCTCCCTCTCC